TATGTTAACACTTATTTTTTTATTTAGAATTATTTTTTATTTATAATACTAATTTTTTATGTTAATACTAATTTTATGATTATTCTCACAATTTATGTTAACTTTTATTTTTTTATTTGTAATACTTTTTTATATTGTCAACTTAATTATTTATATTACAATAATAACTTATTATAATTGTTATTATTTTTCATTATGTTTAGAATTATCAAAACTTTTTGATAGGGTGCTATGATACTTCTATCTCATTTTATGTCATATGACACTAATTTTACGATTATTCTCATATTTTTATGTTACAATATTTTAATATATTTTACACTAAATGATATCAATTTTATGATTATTATCATTTTTTTATGTTAATATTTATTTATCGGTACAGAATTATTTTTTGGGTTTAGAATAATAGATGAAATTCCAAAAGACCTTAATAAAAAAGAAGAAAAAGTTGATAAAAAAAGTAGAAGTCGGTAAAAAAAAAAACATAAAAGAAAGAAAAAGCTCAAGGAAAAAAAAAGAAGCCATAAAAAGATAATCAAAAGAAAAAATTCGTAACAATTTTAAAATTATTCTTATTTTATTTAATAAATAATATTTAATATTAATTAATTAAAATTAAGTTAACATGTTAATAAGTAATTAATTATATTTACAATTAAAAAATATCAATGATTTATATTAATTCTTATATATATCTAAGGATTAATATTCAATGACCTTATAATAAGATCAAAAATTTTAAACTTATTGTAGAAGTTCCCCTGGTCCTTACAATGATTTCAATGGTAGATAAAATTGAGCCAAAGAATCAAGAAAAGAGGAGGATTCTGAGCAAAAGGAATACTTTGCCAAAAATCCCAATCACCACCACCGAAACCCGTCACCATCCCGACGTTCAAAACTCAACTGTACCACCTAAACACTACCATTGCACCCCAAACTGCCAAAACAGCTTAGCCAATTTCCTACATTGCCTTTATAGACCTCAGACCCCTATGAGTCATCAAAATACTAGATTTCTATGGATATCATTTTTGTCCCTTGAATTGGAAGAAATTCAAATTCTCTCTTATGGTTAGGGAATAAAATATTTTCAGAAATAAATAAATCATAATGATTTTTGTCTTTGTTTTCATTCATTTTTTTAATGTCTTACAATGGATTCATCAAAATTCTTTTTATCAATATAGTTTTTTTTGTCACAAAAAAACCACCCCTCCTTTAAATACTCAAACCTATCAAGCAACCAAATTTATCAAAAAAAAAAAAAGAAAAAACCTCATTCCTCACCAAGTGAGTGACGAAGCAGCGGTCAAACACAAACAAAAAAGGAGACAAGAAAAAAAAAAAGCTAGCGACAGTGACAGGATGGCAGCTTGCGACATTGTAGGCTTTTGGATGATCGGGAACAGTGGAAATGAAGAGTATGAGAAAGGCAGCAACATATCAAAATTACAAAAGGATTGAACAGCAGGGAGAGGGTAATACGACGATTTAAAATGTCAGGTTAAAATATGGTAATTATGATCAAGAATTCAAATTACAATCGTAGCTACGTTTTTGATTACATTACGTATATCATAATTATGTATATAACGAAAATTATTACGGTTATCAAGGTCGTAATTTTTTTTTTAATTTTTCATAATTTATTATAAAATATAGTAATTATAATTATAATAATAAAAAATAGTACTTATAATTTTTAAAGTAATTTATGATATTTTAATTTTTATTTATTCAGAATGAAAATGTATATTATAAATGTTTTGCTTTATTATACGCATGAAGTTCAAAGACATAAATATTATAAATCTATATGATGGAAAAAATATATCTTATACGAAGTTAATAAAGATTATAATTAATTTAATTAAAAAATTAGTGATGAATATTTTAGATATTTTTGTAATATATGTTTATTGGAGGAAGATGATAAACTATCTAATTGTCTATGGATAAATATACTTTACTATTAGATCAAATTTTTAAGTGCAACATTTTAAATAACTAAATTAAACTAAAATAATATAATAGTAGCAAACTAATCTTTATTAACTAATAAAAACATATAATTAACAATAACATTAATAATATTAAAATTATTTAAAAAACTACTAATTACTTTAAAATAATGGTAAATAAAAATAAATTCACTAATTAATAGCTCACATTCCCCTTAAATTTTCATCAAAATCAATAAAAAAGTTTTCTAAAATATCCAATTTCTCACCAAATCATTTGTTCTTTCCTTTCCATATTTTCACCTAAATAAGAAAAAGTAAAATACAATGTACTTTTAAATATCACATGTACTTAAATTTTAAGTTAGGAAAATAAAAATACTATAATTGGTTAATTTGGTTCAGCTGAACTCAAACCCACCAAACCTTTTCCACATCCATTTATTCTTCAAATTTAACAACTTAAATTTATCAGTATCACACCCTGTTGCTCACTCTCTTTCTCTAAAAATCGACAGGCATATTCCATGCTTCCTCTATCTTCTAACCTCTTTCAAGTTCCATCCATGCTATCTTTGTCTTCTTCCTCAGCCCAAGCCACTGGCGACACTACTATTGAATCGAAGCCTCTCATATTCCCATATCGGCAGTTAAAAAATGTTTTGCTTCTTCTCAACTTTCAAGGTCTGAGATAGTTATTGATTGACTTCAACAACATGTTCTTTGAGCTTGATTGAGGTTTGTATTTGCTGATTGAATCATAAATTTAAAGATTTTTTTTGTTTAGAATGTGATTTTTTATATGAAATTCTTTAATTATTGAAAAAGAATAGGTTTTTGAATTACATTTTGAACTGAAAATGATGATTACGGCTATAACGTCCTATAAAACAACAATAAGAAAGGCAAACTCACTTTTCTCCCACTGAAAGAAATGGAATAAGCAAACAAAGAACCCAACTAAGCGATTCTCCTTGACCTGACAAAAAAAAAAAGGAACGAACGGGTTTCGCATCAAGCACAGCTTCCCTTTTCAGGAAACAAGAAGAAATGAAGAGGGAATTCCTAGCTTTTCTACGAGCTCATACCAAAATCTCTCTGAAATCCAGAACGGAAATAAGGACCTACCTATTGGGGTTAAGAAGCACCCCATCCGACCGAGATTGATCGACTGTAACTGCTGCTTGAGGTCGTTATGATTGTGAATTTCATTCACAACCCAATTTTGAGTATGTAACGGTGGTGAAGGCTACTGAAACCACGAAGTAACGATCTCAATGCCGCTACACAACTGCTATTTGAAACCTGATTATCACTTTAAAGGTAATTTTATGAAAATTTGAGTCTGAATCTATGACAAGGGCGTTGAAAAGGACATTTGGTGGAAATTTAGGAAAGATATGACTCCAACCGTCAACGGTGCCAACGATTAGAGTGACTGCCAAAGATTAGTTTAGAGAGAGAGTATGAGAAAAGAGGAATGGATAAGAAAAAAGAAAAAGAAAAAAAAAAGTAAGAGAATTGGGTCAATTTCAACTCGATTATTGCTGCTCGAACCAAGTCAAGTCCATATATCAAGTTCTGATATAAAATAAAAAATAAAAAATATTTTGATTTTTTTTTACACACCAAACATCTCTTTCTTCTCCATTATAAAAAAAACCTCAACCAAGAGAACCATCTTAAAACTTAATCATCAAACAATAACAATCTCCAAAATACAAACCAATTAATAAAACAAAAGTTTAAACCCAAGTAACTTATAAAAAGTTGTACAGAGTGAAGGATTTAATAACATATTAAAATTCCCAACTAACTTCAATTGCTTCCTAAGATTAGGTGGTGCCCAAATAAGAAGAAATGAGTGAATGGAATTATTGACAAAAAAATTTCTCTTCATATCCTCGTGACAACACTGATGAAACCTTTCACGTCACTGTTTCAATTTGAGCAAACCTTCATATTTATCGTGTCCATACCAAAGTAGCATATTTGATTAAAATTTTGAAGATTGTGTTGTGGAATTACGTATATGTACTCGTAATTCTTTTATCTATATACAGTTATATTTTTCATTGAAAGTGTTGAGAGTGAAACATTTTGCAGACCCCTTAATTGCATCTTGCAAATGGATAAAAGAAGAAAGGTTTGATGAGAAATTAACATGTTTGTCTGGATTTTAACTTTTTGTTTTGCTTTTTAGAAAAAATTAAACAAAAATATGATGTGGCAAAAAAGTTGGAAATTAAAAAATAAATTTAGAAATATAATTTCTTGAGAAATAAGATTTTAAGTTAATTAAACTAATAAAAGAAAATAAAAGTGAGAAAAAAAGTCCAGAAAAGAAAAAAATAAGAAAAAGAAGGAAATTAGTCTTTTTTTAAGTAAGATTAGAATCGAATAAGAAACAAAAATGCAAATTCTATCTATTTTTTATTACTCAAAATATCTTTTCAATCATTTTAATTCTTTCTTTTTATATTTCTTACCAAAATATAGTATAAGAGTTATGAGCCTTAGGCTGTGCAAGACATGCCATAACTCCAATTTTAGGGAAGGTGAATGAAAATTTTTTAATATAATATATGAGATTCTCATGTATTAAAAAATGTATATGAAATGAGTAAAAAAAATTATATGAAATATCATATAAAAATAATGAAATAGTCATCAACCTCTAAAAAAGTAGTCCAAAAAATACATTGAATTATATCTCTATGTGGGTCACAGACAAAAAAAAAAGGGAGGTATTTATTTATATTATTATAATTTTTACATTTTTTTGAATTTTTAATTAAATTATATCTCTATGTGAGTCACAGACAAAATAACAAAAATTGAAGGTATGTATTTATATTATTATAATTTTTGCATTTTTAAATTTTTAATTAAAATTAAATTCATAATTTATTTGAATTAAACTAATATATTTAATTTACAATTTTAATAAAAAATTAAAAAAAATTGTAAGAGTTATCCTTCCTATATGCGGGGCATGGGCACAAGGAAAAATAAAATAAAATAAAAAAACCTCTAGCCACTCAAAGCCCTGCGCCGTAATATTTTCTTGTGAAAATTGGAATGTTTCATTGTATCAAAAGTGGGGCTTGCAGCAGGCCGGTACTCAGGCACCAACCTCCCCGACTTGTATCGCACCCCACAAGCGTTGCACAGCGTCTTAGGCCCCAGTGGCCCCATCCTCCATTGCGGAGTGTTTTCGGCGAGACAGTGACTGCACTTTCGCCTCACATACGGATTCCATTCAGCGACGTCAACAACGGCTTCTAATTTATTGTCGGGTATTGTAGTAGAATCCATCTCCTGCTTTATAGACCAATAGCCACGCTTGCCCTCTCGCTTACCCCTTTGTTTCTTGTTGGTGAAAGCAATTGTTTGTTCATTTTCAGGAGTCTTCAGTTCTGGCACCTCGTAGGAATTTGCTGAAGCAGAAGAGAAGGATTCGTGTTCTGGGGTTAGGGAAAAGCCATCAAGAGAGATGATTTCATCAGTAAAATCAGGGAACCAGTCTATGTCCTCCAAGGAGTCTTGTGGCACGCAAAGCTGACTCTCCGATCCCGAAAACCCTTCATTGGTTGGAACTGGCAGTGAAATGTTATTATTTTCATTATTATTACAAGTACTGAGGTCTTCAACAGCCATTGAATTGCAGAAAGAAACAAAGCGACAAGTCAAAAGAAAATTTTTAGTGTTTTTTCGGAAACAAAGCAAAGCATTCAACAGGGTTAATTGATTGCTGTTATATTTGCATTTGTATTTAAAGAGGAAGTGAGAAGCCATACAAGTTAATGTAATTAATACCATATTAAAATATAATTTCGTAAAATTTTGAGGGATAATTTTTCTTAGTGATTAAGTTAATTAAGAAGAAGAAAAACAAAGACCCACTTGTGCTTTCCAGGAAGGTGCAAATTTCGGTGTTTAAGGTTAATAGGAATTAAACTTTGTCTACATGCAGCGTACGTATTTCAATAAATTTTTTACCATAATCGGGTCCTATATTCCGTGTCTACACCAATATTGACAACTGCGAAATTTAATTATTATTATTAAGTTTAATAAAATAAAATAAAAAAACACCATTAGTCTAATATAAGGCTTAATTAATAATTAGATACATGAACTATACCATTATAGAAGGAGAAATTTTTTATCAATTAAACGATGGTACATGTCCTTTAAATATTTTTTTAAAGGTGCATTTTCTTTATCAAAATTTTTTTAAACGATGGTGCATTTTCTTTTTAATTTTTTTAATTATAATTAGTTACGAATTAAAATTTTTAAGTATTACTAAATAAATTAATTAGATTTATAAAACCGTTTGACAAATCAAAATGAAACATGTAATTCGACAAATAAAAATTTCAAATCTCTTAATTCAACCAATTAAAATTTTCCTATAAGTTATCAATTTTATCCTTAGATGAACAAAAATAATTTAAAGATAAAATTAAATTTTGATCAATTAAATTTTATTCATGAGTTATCTTCTTCATCTTTAATCAAAAGAACTTAAAGATAAAATCAAAAAGGTTAAATTCATTTAGAATTCCTTCACCTAACATTACGTGATATTATAAATAGAGAGCTCTCTAAGCTATTTGACAAACAATTTTCAGAAAAAAAAATACTGAACACAAATGGAGAAGAAAAAAAATTTGAAAAATCAAATTCTCAAGAGGTTTCATAAGTCTAATTAAAATGAATATCAAGAACATGACTAATGAAAAAGAAGACTTTCGAGAGAAAGAGTGAAAATCAACCAGGAGAGAGTGTTACGAGCAGAGGAATGAAGAACTTGGGCCAGGGAATAGTAGGCTGGAGTATGAGCCCATTTGATAATAAAACAAAGTCTATTATTTTGTATTGTGAATCGCAAATAGTGAAGGGTACAAATGATTGTAAACGGCTTTTTTCCACTTTTTATGGATGTAACACGTTCACAAAATTTCGGTTCACACACACTCTCTTTTCTCTCTCTGTTGTCTCTCCTCTCACTCTATTCTTCTTCTTTTTTTTGAAAAAAAAACCATATTTTCTGCTTCTTACTTAAACATCTTTGAGCTGTTTTGCAGTTCCCATTTTGGTTTGTATTAATTGGTATCAGAGCCTCCGATTGTGGCGATGGCGGATGGTATGACCACCAGGTAGTAGAAAGAGATGGGTCAATTACAAAAGGACCTAGAAAAAGTGGAGATTAGGTTGGAAAGTTCCACTAAGGAGCATAAGACTAAGATCGTGAATTGTGCAGAAGAAATGGGTAGCATGTTTGATATAATCTAAAACAAGTTAGAGGGTTGTGATTGTGACAAGAGTTTTGTGATTGTGAAAAAACTTTAGAAGAACCTAGAGGGGAGGAAAATGTAGTCCAGAATAAACATGTCATATCATTACATGCCTTGGTGGGTGTTGAGGGGCACAAAACTATGAGAATCCACAGTAGGATTAAGAACCAGTTGGTGGTATTCTTGGTAGTTCTGGTAGTACCCATAATTTTATTGATCAATATAAGATAAAGACATTGGGGTGCAGTACATCAACTACAGGTGGACTTAGTGTTACTGTGGCTAATGGTAATAAGTTGGTAGCCAGAAATAGATGCAGAGGACTGACTTGGGAAGCTCAGGGTTTAGTGCAGCATACTGATTTTTTATTACTTTCTTTGATGGTTTGTGAAGTAATGTTAGGCATTCAATGGCTATAGGATCTCTTAGTCCTATCTTATGGGATTTTTCTTCACTGACCATGCGGTTGGTATTGGCAAATACACGGTACACTCTCCAAGGAATAGAAGCTAACCACGTACAGTTGGCTACCAAGAGACAGTCTGCTAAACTGAACTTGATGAGCGGGAATGTCGGATTGATGATGATCACTGGGATTGGTTCTTCACAAACTCAAAATGAGTTGCACTAACCCAAGAACGAACCTGAGCTGTCTTAGGAGTTAAGAGCTTTGTTAAACAAATATTCTTTTGTTTTTGAAACTTCGACTGACTTACCACAATCAAGACCTGGATACCTTTATTGGATGAGTCCCAATCTTTTAAAATCAGACCTTATAGCTATCCCATAGTTCAAAAGAATGAAATTAAGAGAATAGTGTCAGAAATAAAGGAGGCAGGAATTATGCGGGATAGCAACAGCTTTTTTGCATCTCCTATTGTGCTTGTGAAGAAGAAGGATGGGTCTTGGCAATTATGTGTGGATTATAGACAGTTAAACAAACTCACACTTATGAGTGGATTACAGACAGTTAAACAAACTCACATTTAAGGACAAATTCGCTGTTCCTTTAATAGAAGAGCTGTTAGACGAATTAGTCAATGTTTACTAGTTTTCTAAATTGGATCTTAGATCGCGCTATCATCAGATCAGGATGGATCCTACAGACATTCACAAGACTGCTTTTAGGACTCACCAAGGGTATTATGAATTTTTGGTAATGCCTTTAGGGTTGACAAATGTCCCATCTACTTTTCAAAGTTTGATGAACAGCATATTCTAGCCTTCTTTACGAAATTTGTGTTAGTATTTTTTGAGGATATCATGGTATATTCATCTAGCTGGAATGATCACCTGGCTCATTTGCAACAAGTATTTGAAGTGCTGGTCAAAAATCAAGTTTTTGTTAAGCTTTCCAAGTATGATTTTGGTGCTACACAAATTGAGTATCTGGGACATATTATCAGCAGTGATGGAGTTGCCATGGACAACAAAAAGGTGGAATGTGTTAAGGATTGGCCTATACCTAATAATGTCAAGGAGTTAAGAAGGTTTTTAGGGCTGACAGGTTACTACCGCAGGTTCATACAAGGATATGGGGCTATTGCCAAGCCATTTACTGATCTATTAAAGAAACATTCTTTCAGTTGGAATGAGTCAGCTACTGTAGCTTCTGAACAACTTAAGCAAGCTGTAATGACAGCTTCTGTTTTAGCATTACCAGACTTTTATGCTACTTTTATTATTGAGTCTGATGCTTCAAGTTGTGGGATATGTGCTGTTTTCAACCAGAAGAGGAGGCCTATTGCTTATTTTAGTAAGGCTTTAACTCCTAGACATCAAGCATTGTCAGTATATGAAAAAGAGATGCTGGCTACTTTAACTGTTGTTAAAAAATGGAGTCCTTATCTCATTGGAAGACATTTCCATATTAAAACATATCATCAAAATCTCAAATTTTTTCTTGAAAAAAAAACTAACACACTTGCACAGAAACTTTGGGGGGTAAAAATGATGGGATTCGATTATGAACATGGTTTACAAAAAAAGGTCTGCAAATATGTCAGCTGATGCTCTTTCAAGGAAACCCTCAGCCATGTTGTATGCTATTTCTTTTGTGGGTATTAAACTAATGACTAGAATCAAACAATCTTGGTTAAAAGACCTTACTCTAATACATTCGCTGCATAAGATTAAAAGTAAGCCAGAAAATTTTCCTAAGCGCAGTTGGAATGTCGATTAGCTAAAGAGGAAAGGAAAGCTAATGGTGGGGGCTGACATGGTACTCAGGTAGGATTTATTGAAACGTTTCCACAACTCTGTGGATGGTTGAGCATTTTGGAGTGAAGGCAATTATGAGGAGACTAGCCAGCATTGTTTATTAGAAGGGGATTAAAAAGCAGTCAGATAGTTTATTCGAAAGTGCACCATTTGTCAGCAATACAAGTATGAAACTACTGCCTACCCTGGTTTACTACCTCTCCCAATTCCTGACAAAATCTGGTCTGATATTTCAATGGATTTCATAGAAGGACTTCCAAAATCATTTGGGAATGATGTAATTATGGTGGTCGTAGACAGGCTCTATCAATACTCCCATCTTATCTGTTTTTCTCATCTTTATAATGCTGCTGTAGTAGCCTAAGCTTATCTGAACAATGTGTACAAGTTGCATGGAGTACCTAACACTATTGCCATTGACAGAGACATGATTTTCACAAGTTCTTTTTTGGAAGGAACTGTTCAAGTTTTTTGGAGGCTACATTGAAGATGTCCACTACATATCACCCTCAAACTGATGGGCAAACTGAAGTGGTGAATAGGTGTTTGGAAATATATTTACATTGTATGACAAGAGAAAGACCAAAACACTGGTCCAAATGGATTTCACTGGCGGAATGGTGCTATAACACCAATTATCATACTTCTATTCAGACAAATCTATATGAGGTAGTTTATGGACAACCTGCCTCAGTCCATAGACCATACTTGCTTGGAGATTCTAGAGTAGAAGCTGTTGATAGAAGTTTTCAAGCAAGGGAGGCTACAATTAAGTTGTTGAAGTTTCATTTAGATAGAGTTAAGAACCGGATGAAGCAACAACCTGATAGACAGAGAGTTAACAGGCAATTGGAGATTGGTGATATGGTTTATGTTAAGCTTCAACCATACAGACAAAAATCAGTTGTTAACAGTTCATGCTTGAAATATATGCTAGATATTTTAGACCTTACAAGGTTTTGGAAAAACTTAGACCAGTGGCATACAGATTGGAGCTTCCTACAGATGCCATGCTCACAGCTAAAGAAACACATTAGAAAGGTGCCTATGTCACGGGTCGAGACTTAAGTTCCGAACTCGCGCGGCTCCGGGACCCAGGCATTCATCCTTCCAACGTCTCGGATCAGCTTCCTA